ACACACGCACACACACACACACACACACACACACACACATACACACACACACATATCATTATGCAATTGTTTTAACCACATAAAACTCTTTAAAAAAAAAAGAAATTGGACTTGCTCACCTCTAGGCCATTTTTAGCAGTATTCTTTTTTGTTTTTGTGGTGTTATGGTGCCAGGGCTTAAACCCCAGAGCCTCAGACAGACAAGTGCTCTATAATGGAGCTCTATCCCAGCTCTCCAGGACTTCTTTAAAGCTTCCTGACTCCCTCTGTATTGGTCACCATCCTCCCTACAACCCTACTTATACAATTTATCCTTCAAGTCCAGCCTCAAATGCCCCTTTCTTTGAGAAACTTCTTTTTTCCAGGCTCCTAGACAACATAGTTTAAATCTCCATCATAAAACATACCACAGCCTTGCCTCAAATTATGGTTTGTTGTATGGTGGTTTTTTCCTCCAATAAATTGATATGTCAAGAGCATTTTTTTTTTTTTTTTTTTTTTTTTTTTTTAACCAGGGATTTAACTCAGGACCTTAATGAATTTTGTCCTTTGAGACAGGGCCTTGCTATGTGATTCAGGCTGGCCTTGAACTCACAGTGATCCTCCTGCATCAGCCTCCTGAGTGCTGGGATTACAGGCATGCACTACCACATGTGGCACTTTTTTGCTTTCTTAAGTATTCCACCAGTGCCTGGAATAATATCTTATTTATTGGAAGAGCCTAGTGACAGTTGAATTACCTTCATTTGTTTGTTTTTGTTTGTTTCTTTGTTTTTGGTACCTGGGATAGAACTCTGGACCTTGCACTTGCAAAGCAGACTGTGACATTACTGAGCTAAATCCCCAGCCCTTGTTTGTTTGTTTTTGACAGGGCCAAATAATGTAGAGTCCAGGCTGGCCTTGAACTTACTATGTAGCCCAAGCTGGCTGCAAACCAATGACAATCCCCCTGCCTCAGCCTCCTGAATTTTGGGATTACAGGTAAGTGCCACCATGCTTAGCTATGTTAACTTTTAAAGACATAGCTTGGATGTCTAAAATACATTTTGATTCTAGTTTTGCTCCAAGCACAATCCTATCTATCTTAGTCTGCAGTAACTATTTGGTTGTAGTTACTCAAGAATAGAACTTTGAAACCATCCCTGCTTTCTCACTTCTCTTTTTCTGGCACCAGTTCTCAACACCTCCACTGCTCTACCTGGTTCCTTTTAACATCTTCCCTCGGGATCTTTGCAGTTGTTCTATGCCTAGTCACCTGACTTTGAAACGCTACCATTATTTCCAACACAGCAGTTAGAACGACTCTTATTTTATGTTTTAAAAATATGTAAAGCTGAGTATGTGCCAGTTACTTTCCTAGGCATTTTACAAATATCGACTTCTCAATGAACCTCTTAAGTAGATATTATAATTAACCCTATTTTACAGGTGGATACAATGAGGGCACAAAAGATTACTTTGCCCAAGGTTGCCTCGGTCATGTCATTGACATAAATCATGCTGTGTCACTTTGCTTAGAAAGGTCCAGCAATTTATCATCTCAGAGCAGAAGCCACATCCCCCAGAGGCCTGAGTCTACACAGTAGGCACCTCTTAGCCAAACGGTCAATTTCTGCTATTAATTACTTTATTTATTTATTTATTTGTTTTTTTGAGACAGGGTCTCACTACGTAGTTGAGGCTGACCTGGAACTCACTGTGTAGCCCAGGCTGGTCTTGGAACTCACAGCGATCCTCCTGCCTCAGCCTCCTGAGTGCTGGGATTACAAGTATGTGCCACCATGCCCAGCATTGCTATCTCTATCTGTATCTCTTCCCAAACAAATTAAGCCCCACCAGGAGGGCAGCCAGGGATTTGGGGCTCCCTGTTTTGTTTTTTTAAGTGCTGGGGATCTTGCTTAGGGTTTCTCAAATGTGATACATATATGCACTCCACTACTGAGCTATATCCCTGGTTCCTTCCACCCCGCCCCTTTTTCTGAGGCAGGGTCTCCCTATGTGGTTCAGGCTGGCCTCAAACTCACTGTGTAACTCAGGCTGGCCTTGAACTCTCAGTGATTCACCTGCCTTAGCCTCCACAGGTGTGTGCCACTATGCCATTTAAAAAGAGTCCTCGTAGCTGGGTGTGGTGGTGCACACCTGTAACCCCAGGACTCGGGAGGTTAAAACAGTAGTATCACTGTGAGTTTGAGGCCAGCCTGGGCTGCATAGTGAGTTCAGGACCAGCCTGAACTACAAAGGGAGACCTTGCCTCAAAAAGCAAACAAACAAAAAATAAATAAATAAAATAAAAATGAGTCCTTCTTTAGCAGGGTGTAGTGACACAGCCTGTAATCCTAGCACTTGGCAGCCTGAGGCAGGAGGATCTCTGTTAGTTCAAGGCTAACCTGGGCTATATAGTGAGTTCAAGGCCAACCTGAACCACATAGTGAGACCCTGTCTGAAAAAACATAAGTTACTAACTGAATAAATGAGTCCCTGTTTAATGTATGACTGTGATAGGCAGAACTACCAGGGCTCTGTATACCCTTTACCCAACTTTTTCCCCCTCAGTATCTAAAATGATGCCTCATATTGGTAGAAGACCCTCTTTTAAACACTGTAATTGTGGAAAGCCATGCATGGTGGTGCATACCTGTGATACTAGAACTAGGGTGGCCAAGGCAGGAGGATTGCTATGAGTTCAAGATCAACCTGGGCTACACAGTGAGTTCAAGGCCAGCCTGAATTACATAGGGAGACCCAGCCTCAAAAACAAACAAAAAATATTGTAATAATCACCGAAGTGATTATACTGCTTTTCATTTACTGTATGTGTAAGCAAATGTTTAAGAAAAGAAATAACTGGAGCCATGCATGGTCATTCATACTTGTAGTCTGTGAAGCTAAGGCAGGAGGATTGATTGCAAGTTCAAATCCAGTTAGGGAAATTTAGGGGCTTAGTGAGACCCTATACCAAAATTTAAAATGGGGACTACAATGTAGTTCAGTGAAAAAGAATGGGTTCAATTGGCAGTATTGCCAAAAAAGAAAAAGAAAAGGAAAGAAGGAAGGGAAGGAATGAAAGAGCTGGGCACGGTGGCACACACCTTTTGTTCCTGCTACTCAGAAGGCTGACGCAGGAGAATCTCTGGAGCTCAGGAGTTGGAACCCCCCCCCCAATTTAGTGAGATCCTGCACATGGAAAAAAAAAGAATTCTAAAGAATATTGTATAAATTCATTATGTTTACATGTGTTGCAATCCTCAGTTTTACTATCTTCTGAGTGTTTACAATGTTATAAAATAGTGACAAATACATTGTAACAAAGTAATTCATTGTAATAAAGTAATACATTGTTAAGGTAGTGTTGCTACAAGTTTTGTTGGTTTTTTTCAGGACTGGGGATCGAATTCAAGGTCTTCTCACTAGCTCACTACAGCACAGCTACAGCCCTTTGTTTTACTTTGTTTCTGGTTTTTTTTTGGGGGGGGTGTTTTTGGAACCAGGGATCAAATTTAGAACCTCGAATCCTGGAATTTAGCGCAATGGTTCTGCCACCTGCTTTGCAAGTGTAAGGACCCAAGTTTGATCCTCCATACCAAAAAAAAAACAACTCAGAACCTTGCACTTTTGAGGCAGGTGGTAGAAATGAGTTAAATCCTCGGCCATATTTTATTTTTTGAGACAGGGTCCACTATGTATCCCTGGCTGGCCTTGAACTCCTGGCGATCCTACTGCCTTCAGTCTCCAACACTCCGCTAATTTTAATTTTTTAAAAATTTTGAATTTGTGAGCCAGGCATGGTGGCATATGCCTGTAATCCCAGCACTCAGGAGGCTGAGGCAGGAGGATCACTGTGAGTTCAAGATCTGCCTGGGCTACATAGTGAATTCCAGGTCAGTCTCAACTACATAATGAGACCCTGTATCAAAAAAAGAACAAAAAAAATTTGTTTTGAATTTGTATTGGACATGGTGGTGAACCATTGTAATCACAGCATTTCCAAGTCTGAGGCTGGTGAGTTCAAGGCCAATTTGAACTATCAAAATACAACAAAATTTTCTTTTGAATTTGTGATTTTTCTGCCTCAGCTTCCTAAAGTGCTAGATTTACAGTCATGCACAACACCAAACTGAAAAGGTATGGATATATACAAAAGGCCATGCAATAAAGGGGAAAGTCGCTGGGGCTCAGAATGAAAAAAAGAAAACTGTTGCTCTATAGTTATTTAAATGCAACAGATAAAGAAACATTAGAAGTTAAAGGAAGAGTTTAAAGTGAGTAGTTTTGAGTGGATTTAAGGGTGTGTGTGAGGACAGCCTTGAATGGATTCTTCTTCCTACTGAGTGCTAGCAGTCTGCTGTGGCGGTGGCAGAATGCTTGATTTCTAAATGATTGCTTCTTTGCTTACTACCTGGAAAGCAATTCAGCTGAGGTACCTTTCTTATTTTTAGGATCAAGCTAAAAGAATGGGGGGGGGTGTCAAAGACTGTTTATGAACAATAATTTAAATAAATGATCGAATATAATTTTAAAATATGATAATGATCAGTTTCAAGAACTGAATGTTATTTCATATTATTGTATTCCTTTTTTCCAACTACATCTTTTGAAATTCTGGGGCTCATTTTCTTCAGTATCCACCTTAAATTGCTCAAACACTGCTACAACTATTTTCCTTGATTTTTGTTTTTTGTGGTTTTTTTTGAGACAGGGTCTCACTATGTAGTTGAGACTGAGCTGGAACTCACTATGCACCCCAGGCTGGTCTCAAACTCACAGCGATCCTCCAGCCTCAGCCTCCAGAGTGCTGGGATTACAGGTGTGAGCCACCATGCCCGGCTACAACTATTTTTCTTTGACCGTCACTTTCCTGTGGCAGAAAGCTAATTCTTAGCATGTTTAAAGCATTTTCTGTTAAACGAGGTCTTCTATATTCACAAGACCCACCTCACTAACTTGTAAAAATTATTATGTCAGAGATTCCGATTGTGTAGGTTTGGAAAGTTGAAACTCACGTTTTCACTCCAGCCCAGCGGCCCAAAGCGTAGCCCTTGAGAACTTCTCTGTTGTTTTTATTAATGTGAAGCTTTCAACGTATTAATATGAAAAGTCGAAGCTGGAGTGTGGGACCTCGAGCGGGTGTCAGAGACACAATACTAAGCGGCCCACGTTTGCCAAGTTAGGAACAAAACTCCCCTAGCTTTGTGGCTCTGCACCTCGGGAGTCTCCGCGGCCGCTAG